GTAAGAATGCAATGGATTCGACTGGAATTCGAACTCGGCTCTCCGATTCCTCAATTTGCGTTTGTGTGTGAGTGTGTGTGTGTGTGTGTGTGTGTGTGTGTGTGTGTGAATGCTTGTGGAATGAGCGGGATATACGACTGGATACGAAAATTTGGGTTTACAAAGCTGTTGTATTTGCCATCCTTTTGTATGGCTCAGAATCGTGGACTCCATACAGGTACCATATACGCCAGCTAGATGTTTTCCATAAAAGCTGTCTGTGTGTAATCTGTGGAGTTAACCTTCAAGATAGGACATCTAACGTAGACCTGTGTAACAGGTGTAATATTGGAGGAATCGAGACTTTTATCATACAGTCTCAGTTACCATGGACTAGCCATGTCTTGAGAATGTCTGATGACAGGATACCCAAGATCCTAATGTACAGCCAGTTAGATCAGGGCTACAGGAATGTAGGACGCCCATGGCTAAGATACAATGACAGGCTGAAAAGCAACTTGTCAGCAGTTAATATACCACATAACACCCTTGAGCGCTTAGCCTTGGAGCGGGTAGAATGGAAATCAACGTGTTTTAGTGGACTCAGCAATTTTCAATCTGCTTGTCTGAATCGTCTTCAAGAAGCGAGAGTAATATTTATAAGGTCAGTCAATCTAACAGTGATCTCATCTCACAATCCTCACACTTGCTCCATATGTAGCTTCCTTTGTAAATCACTAACGGGTCTTAAGTGCCACTTAAGATTATCGCACAAACTTTCATAACTGAATCAATAAGCTGTCAGATCCCCATACGACGAAACCGATGGGAGAGTCCATTATATATATATATATATATATATATATATATATATATATATATATATATATATATATATATAGCCATATATCTGACTAAATAAATTACAGACATGAAATCTGCTAATTTTAATAAAGTCCATTCATACTCACGAATAACCTTTCATGTATTGATATTAAAGAATGAGAAAAATGTGCTATAACTGTTTAAATATATCTTTTATTTTCATTTCCCAAATACTTTGGATCTTCTTCCAAGATCATCTTCAGGGGTACAAGTAATATAAAACTATATGTATAATTTAAACAGTTATAGCACGTTTCTATCATCCTTTAATATCAATACACGAAAGGTTATTCGTGAGTTTGAACGAATTTTTGTCAAAATTAGCAGACATAACGTCTGTAATTTATTCAATCGGACATGTCTACAAGAGAATTTGCTGCCTAAAAAACAAATTATATATATATATATATATATATATATATATATATATATATATATATATATATATGCACACACACAGACACACACATATATATATATATATATATATATATATATATATATATATAAAAAACTTTTCACCCCATGCAAAGCAATAGAGCCACTAAGACCGGAGGGGTTGATGGATGTGAAAGAATAAGAAAAGAGAAAAAAAAATCATTATTAAGCAGCTAAAACAATAGAAGTGTTATCAAGAAGACAGTAGATAACGGTTGACAGTGCATATTAATTTTTGAATATCAAAGTTAGCTGGAAGAGAGTTCCACAAGCGAAAAGTGCGAGAATACAAACTGTTAGCTTAGAACTTGCGGTTACATCTAGCCAATTCAAATGTTAATTGATGATACCTTGTAACAAGTCTAATTCAGCGATTAAACTCATAAAGTCTAGGTGCGGAGAGTTAATCCGAAGAATTTCCATGAAAATATTTATGGAAAAGACACAGGGCAACTTCATTACAGCTGTGGGGAAGTGAATGAAGGTGAGAGAACAGGTCGGGTGCCATAACATTGCTTCTTTGGATTTTATTAAAATATCTAACTATACAATACCGGAGCACCAGACCACATCTGACAGCAACATTCAAAGCATGGACGAATGGTAGACATATAAATATGTAAGATAGATTCAAGAGAGAAAAATTGTCTGGTACGACATAGTAAATGAACTTTTTTATCAGCAGACCTAGCGATTGATTCAATATAATCATTTCACTTCATGTCAGCCGACAATGTTAGGCCGATAAGACGCAAAGAATCGCTTTTATAGAGGTCAGTGTCAACCGTGCTGAATGGAGGCAGGAAAATGTATTTCAGGTGATTTTTCGATAGAAGTTTCGTTTTGTAGGTGTTAAAATTAGCACGTCATTCCTTGCCCCTACTAACAACAGACTGTATGTGATGTTTTTAGATCAGCTGCCAATTTGACATTATCGAACTCATCTTACTATGTGAGGAGCGATATTGTATGACAGTTCATTACTCTTTTCTTTTATTCTTGCGAAATTTTCCTGTTTTAATACTTTGCTTAGCTTTAGGAAAGAGTCTTTCGCTATACCAATGAGCCTTCGGATATTGGTGTCGCATTTTCTATCCCTTGTTAAAAGATTCTTCTAGATATTTAATTTTTTTAATTTTCTTGAATTTAGGGTCTCCAATTCGTAGTTCGTAACGTGGGTGATTTCCATTTTCTGACATTGAAACCTTTTTTTTTTTTTTAAATTGATATTTAGTCCTTTCTTCTTGCTTTCTTTTACTACCTTCTGCGGGAGTTCCCGTGGTTTACTTTCTGCATCTGCTATCAACATCCTGTCATCTGCATATTTTATGTTAAGATTATGTTATGTTAGGAATGTAGCTGTCAATAATGCATCCTGAGAGGACATTTAATTCCCTCAGGATCGACTCACTGTCATTTTTCTTTAAAAAAAAATTCTGATTGTAAATTCTGATTTTGGGACCTGGCTCAAATCAAGAACTATTCAGCATCTTCTAGTGGAGCGCCTGTTTCGTCTTGAGGTATACATTTCTAATCAGAAGCAAAACTTCCCATTCCTTGATGATTTAAAGCAAGCTCCAAGTTCTCCAATGACAATTGGAATTTTACCTATGGTCTGACACGAAACAGAAGCCGAGGGTGGTCCTGCTAACGGTTTTCTACAGTGCAATGATACAGCGCATTGATTTCGGGCAGGGCCAGTTTAAGGGCTATTGCTAAAAGAACCACTTCTAAATTTCGCATTCCTTGTAAATGCCTTCGACGCGTCCACCAGTAGGAGGCAGACATATTAGATTACTCGATTGCGTACTCTCCACCTTGCCGGAAGTTTGGGCAAGAGATAAAAACAGGATATTGGCCGCAACTATGGAATCAGAATTATTCATTATTTTGGGAGTGGAATCTTTAGCGTCGATCGATCGGGTTGGCGGGTGAAGAGGACGAAAAAGAATGTGTGATGATCTCTAAGTGTGTGTGTATTTCTATGTAAAATTGAGATGGAGAAAAAACAGAGAGATGGAGTGAATTTGCAGTATTTTCAAACACAATTTTTGAACAATATTATTGAAATCTTTGAAGTGTCGTTTTGTATGAAATACGCAATTTCAGGCTAACGCTCTCCGCGACGTGAAATGGCAAAATTATATTGCATCAGTTGCCAGGTCTGCATCTAGGAATGTTGGTTTACTCTGTACACAATTTTTCTCTCCAGAATCTATCTGTTGTGGAGTTTTTTCACAGTGGAGGCTTGTATTTCTAATAAGTCGTACAAAACGTTAGGAACTTGGAATACAATAGTCAAAGACGCAGCAAATCTAGTTGTGATGGTTGGTACTTCAAATGTCTGAATCTCGACTGACGTTCTCAAACCGTTCTGCAGACTTGCCACTCCTACTTATTATCTATGGGAGAGTCCATTACCAAAGAATAGGTACTATGGCACAACACTATCATACATATTTATTAGCCTACAATTCATCCAGGTGCTTAAGATTGCCGCCATATTTGGTCTGGTGCTCCTGTTGTATATTTAGAGATTCTTGATAAAATCCAAGGAATAATCTGCAATGTTATTGGTCCTGATCTGGCATCCCATCTCCAGTCACTTTCCAACCGTAGTGATGTAGATTCTCTGTATCTTTTCTATAAATACTTTCATGATAATTGTTTTGATTAACTTTTCTATATGGTACCTAGACTTCATGAATTTAAGCACAGTACTAGATTGGTAACAAAGTCTCATCATTTTACAATTGAATTGGCTAGATGTAACCGTAAATTCTATGCTAACAGTTTCTTCTCGGTATTTATCATTTCACCCACGGGAAACGAATATGGCACAAGGCCGGTTTTATTGTGGGTTTCTCCGAGCCCGTAGGCTCGGCCAAAAAAATAGCCTTTTGAAGCTGATTAGACGGGTTCAGGCCCTGTCTACCTCCCCGGACGAAACCTTGTCCTTCGGCAAAGCCTCGTCCGGGTTCCTCTCTGCTAACGCAGAGAGTTCGACAGACATCGGAAGTCAGCTCAAGAACTTCTAACAGTTTCTTCTCTCGTACCTCAAGCTTGTTGGACTGTCTTCCGGCCAAATTTGATTTTCAGAAATTTATATGCAATGTCAATTGTTATCTACTATCTTCTTGATCCCTCTTTTTTTATTGTTCTCGTTTCTGAATAAGGTTTTTCTTTTTCTTATTCTTTACAATCGGTAACTCCTTGTGTCTTAGTGGATTTACTGCCATGCTTGGGGTGAAATGATGTAGAAAAAAAAAGTGACGTAAGTTTTATTGAAAGTCGCGGAATATATTTTGATGTTTGAACAAAGATGTTGAAAATTTATAGAAAATAAAAAGTTTCTTGTTAAAAATAGTTGAAATCTCATAAACTGAATGAATAAATCGTTTAGACCTGTATTTCTCAGCCATTTTTAATTCAGGGCGCACTTGTAGAATAACTAAAACATTGGTGCGCACTTTACATTCTAATAAAAGAAGATTAATGGTGAAATTTGAAAACGGAATTTTGGTTCAACATTCTCAAAGAAGATTTGCAATACAGTTTTCATTTAAAATGGATTTATGAAGTTTTTTTTTAAGAATAATGACTGATTTAAATCTTTTGAGGAAGACAAAAAGAAAAGGATTATGCACGGCTTCTTGAAGATTAAGGAATTTAGCTTCCAGTTTTAAATATCAAAGATTTTCGACCATATCACGTTGAAACCCCGGTACCCGTACGATCACCGAAGTTAAGCAACGTCGAGACTGGTTATCACTTAGATGGGTAAACGCTTGGGAAAACCAGGTGCTGTAAGCTTCGATGTACAGGTGGTGTTGTTAATCGAAGAGCCGAGTTCCAATTCCAGTTGGGTTCGTTATATTCACCTTGGGGAAGGTACGAATCAATCAATCAATTAAAATATAGCATTTATACAAGATTTTTTCCTTTCTTGAAGTGATTAAACATTCTTTTGATAGATTTTTTTTTTTCTCTCTCTCTCTCTCTCTCTCTCTCTCTCTCTCTCTCTATATATATATATATATATATATATATATATATATATATATATAATTTAAATGAAGTGTATTTCAGCAGTCACCATTCTCTCAAATATGTTTTGTTAAATAATATGGACAATTTCTGTCTATCAATTTTTTAATTAAGTTTTCAAATTTCCGTTTTGCGTTATCGGCAAATTTAGTAAAATTCATATTAACTTTTATTTTATATTAATTTTCCTCCGCGAACATTCGAATGTTGATCCATTCGTTTTTAAAGATTGTTCTGTGTCTAGTTACGCACTTAGCTTTTAATTCCGCCGTTCTCACGATCGATGGAACAAATTTTAGTCACTAAATGTGACGTCATATAAACAGTCAAACTGAAATGTTTATGTGTGTTTGTTTTTTTTTTGCGTGTGTGTGAATTATACTAAGCACACTTCAATATACGGTCCCCAATAGAGAAAGACACCTCATTTAACATTTGTTGCCACTCTTTTATTAGACAGCCTCCATAATTTGGAGCCTCTCTTTGAATCTGTCTAATATTAGTATTATTTTGTTTATTTGTCATACGTTCATCTATATCTATCTATGTATCTATCTTTATATATATATATATATATATATATATATATATGTGTGTGTGTGTGTGTGTGTGTGTGTGTGTGTGTGTGTGTGTGTGAGGAGGAGGAGTGAAAATATAGAAAAATAGGAAAGAAGTGTTAGGTTAATAATCCAAAAGTCTTTAGTATTTTTTTTTTTTTTAAAAAAAAACAGTGCTCAATACAAAAGAAGAGCCTAAAATATAATTATTTTTAAAAAAAAAAATATGATTCCGTCGCTACATAAGAGTTCTCATGTTTCAAAAATAGAAGCTAAAATACCGGCTCTATTACATCCTCAAGTGAATTTTGGAATAACTAATTTTGAAATTTACGGAGCTTTATAAGCATAAACATTCGTAATATTAATTACATGAAAACGGTGAAACCAATTATTGTAATAAGGGACGAAAGGGTGAACATATTGTATCAACAAATTAGTTACTTTCGGAAAGAGGATAGGTTCAGGTAGGATTGGGGTGTCTATTTTCAAACGAAAGATGACATTAGTTTGAAACAGATCGTCTGGTCTGTTTCAACGACAGAGAGTTGTTGCCATTATTGTTTCGCCGTTAAATTCGTATTTGTATACCTTAAATTTTTTTCTAAAAGGGTTGTTTGTATATAAATACATCATATTAAACTACAATTTGCTTTTTGGAGACTCCGTGAAGTGGTTTTTATCTTATGATTGGGTTTAGCATATTTGAGCTTCTATTTTTAAAACTTGAGAACGCTTATGTAGCGATGGAATCATATTTTAAAAAAAATATAATATAATATATATATATATATATATATATATATATATATATATATATAAAACAGAAAAATAAAAAATATAGTTACCATTAACAATAGCTGTCAAATCCGCAAACACACTCGCCCATATAAATTGACGGTGTCCGGAGGTGAATAAAGAATATTTTATATTTGAGAGATTTAGTTCACGTTCATAGAAAGACCACAACGCCAGACACCCTTATATTAATTGACAGGGTTCTGACGTGAATAGACAATAATTATACTTATGAAAGAATTGGTATCTTTTTCTTATAAGCCTTTACGGCGGGAACGTTAAAAACGAAGAATCCACGCCCTGCGATAGTCCAGAATGTTACACATCTTTATGCGGATATTAACTGATGGGGTCTGGAGTTGAATAAACAATAACCTTACGATTTAGTCATGAGTTCCTATTTAAATATACAACGATAATATTACAACAGTAAATTTAAAAAAATAATGTGTCCAGTTTTTGCTTTTAATTTGATTCTAAGAGAGGAAAAAAGTGTATTCGTGACTTATTCTAATTTGGAAGTGTTCAAAAGAAGCCATGTCACTCATGCGCTGGTGATGGTCTTAGAAGTGAAGTTAGCTTTTGAGGAATTACTAAAAGATTACCCGAAAGAATATGGGTCCCTTACTGTAAAAAAGAAAAAAGAAAAAGGAAAAAGAAAATATGAAATAGTCAGTGGAAAACTGAATAGTGTAAGCGAAATTAAAGATCGTTCAAGGCAGCGAGGAATGCACAATCCATATATATATATATATATATATATATATATATATATATATATATATATATATATGTATATATATATATATATATAGAGAGAGAGAGAGAGAGAGAGAGAGAGAGAAGATAGACAGAAAGGGAAAGAAAGTGATGGAAAAAGAAAGTGAAAGTGAAAGTGAAAAAATGAAAGCGATATATAGAGAAAAAAAGAGAGAATGTATGATAGAAAAAATAAAAGAGACGGAAGTAGGTGAGAAGGAAAGCGGTCGAGAGAAAGACGGCGATAGAGCGAAAAGAAGAAAGAAAGGAGGAAAAGGAAAAAGAAAAGAAGATCAAAATTAATGACAGAAAAAGTGAGAATATAGAGGAAAGTAATATAAACAGCAAAGAGAGAGAGAGAGAGAGAGAGAGAGAGAGAAGAGAAGATGTAAGAAAAAAGAGGTAGAGATCATGTAGTTCAGAGAGAATGAGATGTAGGAAAGAGAGCTTTGTAAGACAGAGAGAGAAGATGTAGGAAAGAAAAATAGAATTGTAGGAAAGAGAGAGATGAAGGAAAAAGAGTGTGATATAGGAAAGAAAGAGAGAAGACGTAAGGAAAATAGGGAGAGAGAGATAATATATAGGAAAGAGAGAGAGAGAACATGTAGCTAAGAGAGAATGAGATGTAGAAAAGATAGAGGTGTAAGATAGAGAGAGAAGATGTAATTGTAGGAAAGAGAGAAATGTAGTAAAATGAGAGTGATCTAGGGAAGAGAGAGAGAGAAAAAACATAGATAAAAGTAGGAGAGATGTCGAAAGAGCTGTAGAAAAGAGAGAAAAAGATGATATGTATGAAAATGAGAGAGATCTAGGGGAAGAGAGAGAGAGAGATGACATAATAAAAGGCAGGAGAGATATAGCAAAGAGAGGGAGATGTTGGAAAGATTGATATGTAGAAAAGAGAGAGATGTAGGAAAGAGAGAGAGAGAGAGAGATGTAGAAAAGAGAGAAAAGGAGAATATGTAGGAAACAGTAAATATGTAGGAAAAAGAAGTGGCAAAGCGAAAGCGAGAGAAGGTGTAGGACAGAGAGAGATATAGAAAGGAGACAGAAGATATATGAAAGAGTGATAGAGAGAGGTATCGGAAAGAGAAAGAGAGAAACAGTAGGAAAAGATAAAAGTATTAAAAGAATAATACAGCCCACAAAGAAGAATGGTTTCAGAAGATTTATTATGTAGGAAAGCATACTTTTTTTTTAAATAGCCTTCTTCTTGTCATGTACCTTCAGGACGTGGGTGATCATCGCTCTCCACAACTTCTTCTCACTTGTAGCTTTATGTAACGTATGACTCATTATCAACACTCTTTCTCTTGTCTAAACTGTCCATCCGCACAAACCTCCATTTTCCTATCCTGCCATCATTACAGAGTGTGATGGGTAAATTGGCACCATTCTATATTTTTAGTTTTGCGCATGCGCGTTGTTTGTTTTTTTGATTTTGTCGCCTGCACAGCATAGTAGGGTCAGTTGGGTACCGACTGTGCGAAAAAGACCACCATGACGCAATTCACTCCGCCAGAAATTTGGAAACGGCATACTGTACTGCTTGGCATTCGCGCCGGAAGCTCCAATGTGAAGATTTCAGAATGTCTGCGTATTAATCTGAGGACAGTGCAGAGGATTCGGAAGGAGTTGGATGAGTCTAATGGTGGTTACGAAGGTAAGAGTACTCAATCTGTTCGTTCTGATAAGTAAAAAAAAACAACCGAATTTTTTGGTGAGGGACTCAAACTCAACACAGGGGATTACAAGTGCCTTGAGAAGGTAGTGCTCCGTGAGTCAAGAGGAGGCTGCTGGAATATCTTATGTGGGGCAACAGCCACACAAGCAGGATAACCCTGTCATAGCTCTCAGACAAATTCTACGACCACATCACCACTTACATCACGTCACATCTGGCCACCTAACTCCCCAGACTGCAACTCCTTTGATGATTATGTGTGGAGCGCAGTTGAGCGAGAGACCAACAAAACTGCTTGTAACACTATAAAGATGATTATGGCAGCATTCATCAACTTAAACAATGAGACCGTCCAGAAGAGTTGCAAGAGATTCCGAAGTCGTCTGGAAGCCGCGGTTGAAGCAAATAGCGTTTTTGTTGAATAAATTTATTCTTTAGTATATCAAGATATTTTTGTGAAATGTTGGTAAATATATTTATTAAAATGAGATGTCAGTGTTATTTTTTCAGTTTTGCGTCACTTAGACGATAATTTACCCATCGCTCACTTATATATATATATAAATGATGGTACTCTTTTGAAAAAACCTCGGATAGTCTAACTTGTAGGAGAACAAATCAGTACCCGAGGAAAAATGGGAAATAAAAAAAGAAAGAACCTAGAACATTAAAACAAGGCGAAAACAATCGTCAAGTGTTTAAGCTCCAAGTCCAAAGAAAGAAACAAAACAGTAAACGAGTAAAAAGGATATTATAAAAAGGGAAGGGTTTATATATATATATATATATATATATATATATATATATATATATATATATTTATATGGACCTTCTGGAGAACGTCCTTCCAGACTCCTGCCAAAGATTCTTACGAATGTCAGCACTTTCCTCTAAGAATCTTTGACAGCTCTTGACGAAAGAAAGAACGAAGGGGAAGAGTGTGTAAAGGAAAGGTAACCGAAAGGA